TGGTGTGCACTGGAAGAGGGGTTGTCTTATACGGTGAGTATATCCCAAACTATATTTTAACTGGAAAAGTTGGGGATCGTCTTATATGCCCGGTCGTCTTATACACCAGAAAATACAGTAATTAAAGTGCTATGATTCCATTTTAATTGCTACGGCAAGATCTTATGGAGTCCTGGGAAGGCACTAAAGCTCTCTGGCTGAGAATTCTACACACTCCTCCCTAAATGGCAAATCCCAGAATTTCATAGGATGGAACCATGGCAGTGTGATGTGAAGGGGATCATGCACTGTTCTAAAGAAAAAGAAAGGAATCTTGTGGCTCATCAACACTCAGAGATACACAGAGCCTGGAAAAGTGACTTTTTTTTTACTAGAGCTGCCTGATTTAGTCATGTTGGCTGGGGGATTATGGGAACTGCAATCCACAAAAGGAATATTTTCTTTATCATAGAGTGCCATTCGCAGCTACTCTCTTAGAATCTGTCACTGTTTTTTCAGGGACAACACCTAACTTTGGGGATCTCTGAAGCACACAACTGTATGATTACTGTGGAAGAAGCAGAGGCATACTCAGAAGTGTAAAAGGCACATCTGTGACCAGTACACATTTCACTCATCCACTGCAGTCAGCCAGGATTATTTTTTTCCTTTCAGAAGAACAGGCATGAGGTTGTTTTGCAGTTCATTTTTCTCATAAACCCAGAACATAATGAGCGCTAGGGGAAAACAAAGAAATGAAGCCCTCATGCTTTGTATATACATGCCATTCGGAATAGATCCTAAAGCCAAAGAGATTTTAGTACAGGAGAAGGTGGCCAGCCACATGTACTGTGCACTTTCAAACATGAGTATTTTTGGATTGCTGAACACTGGCTTTGCTTGCTTTAGGGAGTGTTAATGAGCAGAATTCAGTCACAGGAAAGCAGTTTTCAGCCAGCATGATGCTATGTACCAGAGGGAAAGGAAATAGCAGTCAGGCACAACTCCATTATGCCTAAATACGATGCCAGCTGAAAGGCCCACATCTCCAGCTACCAGCTGCCACTGGTGAGGCTACCAGAGGTAAGAAAAGCAGTAGCTTCTCTATTCTGCTTAGGCTCAGCTATATTACCTGCTAAATTACTGATTGTTATGTACATCTGAAAAGCTTTGGAGAACAGAAAGTCCAGACTATTTAAACTAGGGGTAGGCCACACAACATATGGCCCATGGACTGCAAGTGGCTGTCAGGAGCTGCATCATGCATCTTGCCTGCCAGGGATTTAGTGCAAATACAGACCTGTGAGTTGCAGTTAGGGTTAATGTGTCTTGGTATACTGAAGTAACGGGATGGGATATGCAGTGGGGTGTTTATCCTGGAGGGTTGTTGATCACATTCCTTTGTGCTGAAATAACAGAGAGAAGAGAGTTCTGCATGGGTGGAGACTACCCAAGGTCATTTCTCTGGGAAAGAAATGGTGGTGGGGGTGGTAAGGGAATGCGAGGAGAACAAGGTTGTTTTGCTTTTGTAACAATTGAGAAAATAACCCATCAATTATTTGAAATTGTGTGTGGGTTTATTTAGGCTTCATTAACACTTGCTATGTAGTTCTGACAACAAACATCTCTGGCGTAGACCTATAGTGACTGAATAAAGATTTTCTGAGTTTTGCCACTGAAGCCAGGAATTTCTGAAGCCAGGAATTTCTGAAGTCTTTCTGTCCATTTTTTTTGGGGGGGGGCGGGAGGAGAGCAGGGTATTGGTGTTACGGTGGCAATATCCAAATGGGCATGCATTTTCCTTTAAAGGAATGTCTGTGCTGTCAGAAGTCCCTTTTTATAAATTGAAGTACAATTCCATTGTAAGTAAGATGCACAGGAAGCATGCACCTTGTTTTAAGTGGGAACAAGTGAAGGGGTTCACTGCCCAACACAGTGGCTAATTTGGTTGTGGTAAAAAACAACAACTTCAGTGACTTCAGGAGATGCTATGACTTTGGAAGTTGCCCACCCCAGATCTCAACCCCATCTGAAAGTCAATGCCATTCAGATTCCAGATTCTTTCCAACATGACAGCATTTCAGTATCAATGCTATGGCGAACAATGTCAGGGGACAGACATGGCAGAATGGATCAGCATTAGACAGATAAATAGCAGAGTGCTGGGACATTATTTTTAAAAAGCAATTTTTATATATTTGTTATATAACAATTTGTTCAATATCGTTCATTACTTCCAACAGAAGATTACTGCGGACCTATACTGGAAACACTGCAAATGGATTGCATGTTAAATCATTTAGAATAGAGGTGGGCAGCTGCAAACAAACTCAGATTTAAAATCCAGGTCCTCCTGTGGGCTGAAGTTTTTCAAAACTGACTGAAAAATAAACATATATCTGCTGTGGAAGTGACCAGAAGTCATTTCCACTACATATTTCCAAGGGTCTTTCCACACCATACAGTTACAGCACTATGATTCCACTTCAATTGCCATAGTTGCACCCGATGGAATCTTGGAGTCTGTAGTTTTTTCAGAGGTACTAGAGGAGCTCTCTGGCTGTCAGCTCTGAACACTTCTCCCTAAAAACACAGTACTCCACAGGATGGAGCCACGGCAGTTAAGGTGGAATCATAGCACTACAATTGTGTGTTATGGAAGGGTGTTCTAATCTCTGGCTCCGAGTCCTGGAGGCCTTTAGCAACACAAATGGATTTCTTAAGGCCAAGTCTTTTGCTTTCCCACCCAAAAAGGAAGGGGAGAGTGTGTGTTGGTGGGGGCCCAGACGTCACATGTAGCCCTGGGTTATACCTTCCTCATCCCTGATTTACAAGCATTAAAAAGGGGTGCTAAAAGGTTCTCAGCCAGACTCACTTCCCCAAATCTGTCACCATAGCTTGGAAGAGTGTTTCTTTTGTATCTAAATTGCCAATTTGCAGAATCATAACTCTAATTTAGGATTTTTTTCCAGATCACTGATAGAACCATGTCAAAGAAAAGTGTGGAATTTTCAAGCAGGGTGACCAGATGTCCTCCTTTTCGAAGACATGTCCTATATTTCAGCATACTGTCCAAGAAGAATTTCAAGTTGTTTTACGTTTTGAGCATGACTAAGAAGCACGAATTTACATTTATATGAGTGTTTTTAGCTTTTCTTTTGGAATGTCCAACATTTTTCTTGAATGTTCGACATTTTGCGGTACCTTTTCCTCCTTTGCAGTTATGACATCTGTTTTCAAGTGCTGGACTCTGGGCCCTCATGAAGTTCCTGTTCTTGCAGAAGAAAATACCAAAGGAAATCCTTAAATGTATAATGTGTCTGTCATACACAACCGTGAAGAAGTGATGTATCAACTTCCAGCATTCAGCTTTCCCTTGTATATTCTTCGTTGTTATATGCCTTCAGGTCAAATGAAACTTATGGCAACCGTATCTTAGGATATTCCTGGAAAGATTTATCCTGAGAGGGGTTTGCCTTTACCTTCCTTTGATACTGAAAGAGTGTGACCTACCCAAGGCTATCCAGTGGGTTTAGGGCTGACTGAGAAATTTAAACTCTGGTTTCCCAGAGTCCTAGTCCAACATTCAAATGACTATAACATGCCGGCTTCTTTGAAGCTGAATTACTCTGTTATATATATGAAGCTAATCATCTTTTGTAAGCCACCTTGGGAGGACTATGCTTTGAAAGGCAGAAAAAGAGAGAAAGAGGAAAGGAAAAAAAGACATAAAATAAATAAATAAATAAATAAATAAATAGCTGTTTCATCGGATGTCATCCCACAAAGGGCCTTTGCAGACGGCCAGAAATAGTGCACATTAAATTGAGGCACTGTCCTGGCTCAGTGCTAGGGAATCATGGGAACTGTCATTTATTGTGGCACCAGAGCTCTCTCACAGAGAAGGCTCAATGCCCCAGAAAAAAATACAATTCCCATGACTCCCTAGCACTGAGCCAGGGCAGTGCCTCAATTTAATGTGCACTATTTCTGGCAGTCTGCAAAGAGAATTACTCTAGTGGGGTTTCTTCCCAAATAAGTCTGTTCTAAGAGAAGTGTAATACACAGACCTCTTTATACCAGGGCAGGGGAAAATGTTACCCACAGGCAGCAGATAGCTCTCAGGGCCATTTTGGAAGCATCATTATTTTTGTATTTATTTATTTATTTGCTTAAAAAGTCCTCCACATCTCATAAAAAAAAAGTGGTGGTGGTGAGTGGGTATTTTACATGGTTTATGGGACCTCTACCCTTTGCCTGTTTTACTCTTAGGAGAGTAGGAAGTAAATGAAATGGTTGACTTAAAAGCTTAAAGAAAAGGCTATTCCTGGGCATGAAGGTCCTAAACATGGTGAAAGTCCCCTCCCATATATGCCCTAAGGAGCATGAACGACATTTTAGTTAACATTTTGAAACAAAATTTTGAGAGAGGGACAGGAGGGGTCTGGCATGCAGATCTCCAAGGTTTTATAGGGGGGCCACTTGAGGCCCCTAAACCCTTGTGGTTGGCCATCCACGTTTTATAGAAAAGACTTTTGAAGGGGATAGCTACTCAAGCTACACCACTAGCTGTCTATTTATTATTAATATAATCTGAAGTAGGCTGCATCTGCACTGCAGAATTAATCCAGTTTGACACTGCTTTAACTGCCATGGCTCAATGCTATGGAACTGTGGCGTTTGTAGTTTTGTGTGATATTTAGCATCCTCTGTGAGAGAGCTCTAGTGCCACAACAAACTACATATCCAAGGATTCCATAAAATGCAACCATGATAGTTAAAGTGGTGTCAAACTGCATTCATTCTGCAGTGTGACAGTAGCTGCAGACACTGCTTTACTCTTAGACCTGTAATAACTAGCTTTATTTTATTGTAATTCTTGTTGTATGCCTTCAGGTTTTTTCTAACTTATGGCAATCCTAAGACGAAAAATATTGGGGTTTTCTTGGCAAGATGTGTTCAGTGGAGGTTTGTCTTTGCCTTCCTCTGAGGCTGAGTGATTGTGATTTGCCCATGGCCACCCATTGCGTGAGGATTCAAACCCTGGTCTCCAGAGTCATAGTCCAACGCTCAAACCACTATGCCACACCACACTGGCTGTAATTCTCATGGACCAGGATTTGAGTTGTTGTTCTGTTGACAGAACTGGAAGTGGAACAGGAGGTATTTCACCATCTCCTGCATGTGTCTCTCAAATTTGCTCCAGAGAGCTGGGAAACCATCTGATATATGTAGGGCTGCAAAGTGGAAGGAAAGGCAGTGGGGTGGGAGTGGATGCCATTAGTAGTTTATAGTTTTTTAGTACTATGGGTTTGACATTGGATTTAGACAATGATGTTTCAAACTGTAGTGCAGCATCATGCTAATTTTTATTCACCTTGGATATTGGGTAGCAGGCAGAAGAGTTGCATATACATATTTTAAACAAAGCAAAAACAAACAAAAAATTCATTCAATACATTTCTCATTTTCTGTGATATAAAATACCTAGCACTTATATAGCACATTTCTACATGTTCCACATGGATGAATCAACTATCTTCATAGTATTCCAGAATATATGATACAGTGAATGGGAAGCACTGGCTCAGCAATGGTGGCTTGCCTAGGGGCACATCGTAGCTGCCATGACACATCACATTTGGGGTTTTAAAAAAGATTAAACTAAAGCCAAATACAAGTTAACCTTTAGTAGTAAGTATGGATTTGTATCCTACAAGCTACCTACAAAGTGTTTAGGAATGAGAAGCAAAGACAATTGTGAGTATATATAGTATATTGTTTTGTAGAAGGGGAAATCCATTCCCACAAGAATGGGAATCAGACAACATTTTATTGGACCCACATGTGGGTTAGCTACTTAAAATGCTACATTATGTCAGAGGGAGGAAGTGCCATTGTTAACAATATTCAATCCAGTCAGCTGGATTTAATAAAAGAAATTAAAGCAAAACCCCAACCTAAGCAATGTTTTTTTTTTAATTGAATCAAATCCTTAAACATGAAAAGAATTCTTTCCAAGTAGTTCATAATGCAGACAAAGTATTCTGAAGACATCCCATTAATCCAGTAAAGCTGGGACTTTGCTACCCACTACGAAGCTTACAACCACACAACTCTTTCCTGATCAATATTTTACTCCCTGCAATGATTAGCTATGATAAATATAGATGCAGTACAAATGAATATGGATTCCTAGTGCAGTGTGCTAATGTGCACATGAAACCTAACACAGGTGGGCTGTATCATTCACTTCTAACACAAGAGTGTATTTGTTGTCCAAAGGGGCACGGAGCTGCCTCATCGCTGAAATGAATGGGGCAGCCTTTGCATATGTGCACCATAATTATACATAATTATAACTGTGACAGCTGATGTAGAGAACCATTCCCCCCCTAATGTGGCAGGGACCATTACCATATTTGTGACCAATGGGTACTACTCTTTCTTTCTGGAAACATGCTATGGTCCAGCAGCTGATGGCTAACAAATTTACACTGGTTCATGGACCACTACTGAGCAGCACTGCCTTAGACTAGAAGTAGTTTTGTTTCTAATTTTAAAAAAGAGAACTTTCTGTATTGGAGAGGGATCTATTTGTTCTTATTAAAATCCAAACAGGTTGATGACAACACAGAGTTTGAGGACAGACTTGTCCTAAACCATAGGTACCAAGGAAGCTATCCTATACACAGGCTCAGAATATTGTCCATCAAACCCAGCATTTATCGGCCTTCACTGTCAGCAGTTCTCAGTCATGGTCTTCAATATCTCTTGGTATCTGGTACTTTTGACAAGTATAACTAGAGAAGCCAGGGATTGATCCTGAGGCTTTCATCAGTAAAAGGACCCAGCATTTCATCTTAGAAATTTATAGTTTTTAAGATAGACCAGGTAATAGGTGATGGGACCACCTGGGAAATTCAAGAAGATGGATGCAGTCAAAGATAGATGATACTAGAAACCTCTCTTTTGGGAACCACAGTCATGATTCCCTGGGCTTGAAAACAGATGGCCTGGGTCACTACCACTTTGTCCTATTATCCTCTGCATCCTCAGATGGTTCGGTCTATATTTACAGAGCCAGTGTGGTGTATTGGCTTAAGCGCTGGATTACAACTCTGGAGACCAGGGTTCAAGTCCCTACTTGGCCATGGAAACTCACTAGGTGACCTTGGGCAAACCCCCTCTGAACAAATCTTGCAAAGAAAACTCCATGATAGGTTTGCTTTAGGGTCATCATAAGTCAGAAATGAAGTGAAGGCACTCAACAATATTTGTCACATTGTAATCATCCTACTGACATAATGGAAACAAGTTTCTGTTGGGAAGGAAAACAGACTTGTGTCCTCTAACAGAAATGAAAGAGAATTCAATCAAGGTGGCAGAAGGTTTTAAATACCTCACTGACATTTTTACAGTACAGTAGGATCCATTCACTTCCTGTATGCTTGTGGTGTGAATGAAAGAGATTCACTGCTGAACAAACAGCTAAAGTTGAGATTGCAGGAACTGATCAATACATTTACACAAGGAGTAATGTGAATGCCTAGCAACCTCTGCCTTTGTTAGTGTCAGGGAGATGAATGAATTAAGAGGGGAGAGGGAGAGAAACATCTGTATTTTAAAATGGCAGGTTAACTTCCTGCTTTAATTTAGTTCCTAGTATAGCACGAGTGTTAAGGAGAATAAACTGTGAGTCAGGAAGTCTGTGGGGTTTTTAAAATCTGAACTCTGCTGTGAATTCACTTGATGGATTTAAGGAAGTGACTATAGCATTTTTCATACACTGACCAAAAATATTGTGAATGGGTATCTGTGGGTATAGGGAAGGCAATGGAAACTGTTCTCTCAATCTACAGGCATTAATTTGACTATCTATAAAGTTCTGGTCCATGTGCAAACTGTGTACATATATCATACCTGCCAACATTTCACAGATGAAAACCAGGACATATTGTGGTCAAGCAACATCAGGGAATGAATGGCCAAGATGACTAAAATTATAAATAAGGAAGAACACACAAACAAGGATTGAGGATGGAGCAAGCTTGTTTTCTGCTGCTCCAGAGAATAGGGCCTGAAACAATGGATGGAAGCTACAGGAAAAGAGATTCCAGCTCAACATTAGAACAGTAAGAGTGGTTTGTCGGTGTAACACGCTCCCTTGGAGGATGGTGGAGTGTCCCTCTTTGGAGATCTTTAAACAGAGGCTGGATGGCCATCTGTTGGGGATGCTTTGATTGAGAGTTTCTGCATGGCAGAGAGTAGGACTGGATGGCCCTTGTGGTCTCTTCCAATTCTACGATTCTGTTATTCTAAGGGGAGGCAGCAGCAGTTTGCTTTTGTCTGAGATTACTTGGAAGAATAAGATTCCACCTCCTCCTCTGTGCTCCCCTCTGTTGAGTGAGTGCAAACTACTTTTGCATTTTTGAAGGTAAGCTGAAGACAAAGTGGGAAAGTGGGAGAGGAAGAGAGGAACTGGGACATTTTAAAAGCAATTGGAAAAGGGGTGACAAATGATCAATAGGGGCTGTCCTGCCGAACAGTTAGAGAGTATGTGTGTGCTCTGTTCTATGGCCTTTTCAAGTCCTTCTCTCAGCCTACAGGCATTCACTTAATATCTGTGGTCCTGGTCTAAGGGCAAATTGTTTGCCTACACACTGGCTTGTGCTTTCTATGTCTAATAACCCAAAAATCACCTACGCTGAAGTAGTTAAAATTATATAATTTAAAGATGCCCCCCCTACAGACATACAACAGGGCTGTCCAAGGGCAGATAAAAGGGAGCAACACAAATTGACCATGTTCTCTACTTAAAGAAAAGATTAAAGAGAATGGCCACCTATTATCAATAACAGTAATCATGAATACGGTCTTCTTTTGATCAACCAACCAATGTGCCCTCCCCATTAAAAAGAGTCACACTAACAATGAATGGGATCTTTATACCTGTCAGCACAGGAAAAACTAGGACACCATTTGGTTATAAACCAACCTTTGAGGAAAGAGCTAGTTATGTTAGCAGGCCTGTGTTGAATTGCCTTCTCTGTTTTATTTCAAGCAGCAGCTGAACAGTTTAAAATAATAGAAGAGTGCCTGCTTTTAGCAGAAACTGGAAATTAGACTCTACCTGAACATTCTGTATCCTTTGCTTGGCTTCATTTGTCTGTTTTTCTTAGCAAATCTAAACAAGCTTTTCCGGTTCCTCATGTTTGTGTATAGAAAACAGATTTTTTTTAAAAAAAACAACACACCAAAACCATAGGTCATGGAAGAAAATACCTAGGAGAACTAAGCTAAGTCTTAAAATTTTGCACACATGAAAGAAGGCAAAATAGATACATATCTGTGCCTCTCTTTTTTTTTTTTAATAAAAAGGCTTTCTGTATTCATTGTATGGTTATCTATATTGCAGTGCAATATAGTTGTGCTGGTTGCAAAGAAACACTCTGCAATGATTGGCTTAGGTACTATAATTACAGGATTATGCAGCAGGCAAGCAGAGGATCCCTGGAGGTATATCCACACTGCAGAAATAGAACAGTTTGATACACCACTTTAACTGCCATGACTCTATCCTATAGAATCTTGGGATTTGTAGTTTGGTAAGGACCAGAGGTCTCTGACAGACCAAGTGAATACCTCACCAAACTACAGATTCCAGGATTCCACAGGATAGAGCCATGATATTTAAGGTGGCATCAAACTGTTTTATTTCTGCAGTGCAGAAGAGCTGATAGTGGTTGTCACTCGCTGAGTTCCTCATAGCTTGAAGAAGGCCAGCATAAATAAGACTATAAGTAAGGGAAGAAGGGCTTCTTGGAAAAATGCCTTAGAAAACAAAGGACCTGATGCCTGCAAAGTTTGGATATGTGTGATAAAGACCTAGAAAGGAAGCTTGGAACTTGGAGCAAGAGGAGAAGGCCAGCTAGAGGAGCCAGATATATATACCTTTCAACTTTCCAGACTAGGCAGTGACAGTCCAAATTCATCCTCTGTTGTCCCACTTTTTCATTTGCTTTAGAAATGTCCCACTTTCTCGGTCTTCTTCCCACTTTTTGTTCTCAGCTTACTTTAATTGCTCCAAATTGAGTTCAAAGTAAAAAAAAGAGGTTTGCACTCAACTTGGCAGAGAGGAGAGATGAAAACTTGTTCTTCCACTCAGGCAAAAGCAAACTGCTGCAGTCACTCCTAGCTTGTGTGTTCCTCCTCATTCATCACTTTTGTCATCTTGACCACACTCTCTTATGTTGCTTGGCTACATATGTCCTGGTTTTGATCTATTAAATGTTGTAAGGCATGGAGATAGGAAAGCAAACTGGGAGTCAGACAGGTATAAAAATGAGGAAGAATATGACATGGAACTGCAGGAAGACTATTCATATATCAATCAGAAATAGTAAGGCA